AACTTGTTGGGGACATTTTTTACTATGACATACAAAAATTTCAAGGCTTTCCAAAGTGATTTGGGTACTGGATAAAATGCATTTTTATGGTCAGGTGGCCCGACCGGACGGGTTGATTTTCATCTGACTTCAAGTGACAAAAAAAGGTGTTTACAGTTGGAACTGGATTTCGAGTTCTCATGGAAAATGTTTATCAAGATGTTTTACGCAACATATCCAAATTTCAGAAATTTTGAAGTTCGTTTACTATTTATTTGAATGGAATTTCGGTCACTGTGTAAACTGCCCAATTTTACCCCGATTCTTTGAATGTTCGTTTTTATGAGCGGAATGGCGGGGGTGTCGGGGTTGAATAGTTGCTGCCTTGTGACCAGAATTTATGCTTAATATGTGTTAGATGAGTTGATTTGAGGATGAAATGAGGATGTTTCGAGGCTGGAGTGAGACTGAATAGAGTGTCGGATGTTGTGGGATGGAATTGGCGAGCTTAGGGCTCGATTTAAGGACAAATGGTGTCGGTTTGGTGTGTGGTAGTATGGATGGATTGTGGTGTTTAATATGCTTGGAAATGTCGAATTTATGCCTATGAACGTGGCTGTATTTGTGGGCCCATGAGTGGCCTTGTGTGTTTATTGAACTATGATTTGATGGATTGAAATGTGCTTTGTTATGTGCACGCTTGGGCCAGACTGAATTAATTGTTAAATTGGCCATGTCAAATGCTTAGTGAGCATGAATTGTGTGTGAATTGATGCGTGCACGGGCCACGTGTGATTGGCCAATTGAATGTGGCAAATGATTGTTGAGCATGTGCATGAATAAGAGAGTGAATGTGGTGTGGCATGTGCGATTGTGGGAATTGTGCCGTCCTGAGGCGTGTACTTCAACGCGGGACAATGCCCAGTATTACCGGAAGACTGCCAGCCAGAGGCGTGTACTTCAACGCGGGTTGCGCAGTAGATGGTAGATGTTGAGCCTGAGGCGTGTACTGTAACGCGGGCAAGAGACATGGCCTGAGGCGTGTACTGTAACGCGGGCTAAGGAGTGTTGTGAAAATGAGACGGTTGTTTATGCCGTAGGTGGTAGATGTTGAGCCTGAGGCGTATACGGTAACGCAGGCAAGAGACATGGCCTGAGGCGTGTACTGTAAAGCGGGCCCTGGAGTGTTGTGATGAGTTGGTCGCAGTGGACCTGAGGCGTGTACTGTAACGCGGGTCACTGGCGAGAGTTGTGGAAAAAGATGTGATGAAACAGGAACAAATGCATGAATTGTCATTAGAACATGCATGTGAATGGAATAGTGCTATTGTAAGTCTAATGTGCAGGTTGCGTGTATTGAGAATCAAGTGAGTACGATTGTGTGGACGTTGTTTGTATGTTGCTTGATTTGGTTTCTGGACTTGTCTGGAATACGTGGCAGCCTATGTAAGGTTTAGGTTGTGAACTTATTGAGAAGTGTCTCATGGTTGTTTCAACCAAACCATTTCAGAGCACCCGCCCGAGCCATGAACCTTCCGCCGCCGCTGCAGTGATTTGGGATTGTTATGCATACTAATCATGATGTGATAGAGTTCCCGATCGAGATTGAGGTCGATTCGGAGTCGTCGGATGAGCCTGTGCCTGATGAGGATTCGGATGAGGATTCCGAAGAGAGTGAGTCAGAGCGGACGCCATCTAGAGGGCGTAGGGATTAGTTGGAGCTGAGGAAGAGTCTGGAAGTGTCCCATTTTGGTGTAGCGTTACCCAGGCTACTAATCTTTTGTGATATCAGTAGTTCGCAGTTTAGTAGTTCAATGTGTATATTTTGCTTTGTGGTTTGAGAATTGGCGGTTGTGGCATAAGTTTATGTTGTATATGGATATTATGCTTAAATCGAGGTATAGTATATAATTTGGTGGTTTGGCAATTTATTCTCCCTGGTACCCCAGGTAAATTATTATTTGGGTGTTTGATGTTTCCGCCGTGATTAAACTCTGATGGGTTCGTTTGGGTCGGCGATGTTTCCTGGAACGTCGCACTAATTCGACCGAAGAAGGATGTCGCGAGCTCGATGGGGTTCGAGGCGTGACATATTTTGAGTGACAATATCAAACATATGGGCAAAAGTACACCACAAGTGCCATAACTTGTGTACGGCGATCACTTTGGTGCCATAACTTTTTTTCGGATCACTTTGGTGCCATAACTTTTTTTCGGATCACTTTGGTGCCAAGTCCGAGGAAAAGAGATCACTTTAGTGCCAATTTGGCCAGAAATCCGACGTGACATTTTTTATTAATTTTTGACGCCGACGTGGCTCGCCGAAGGCTGAGTCAGCGTGTACAGTCAGCATTTTTTTTTTAAATAATTTTTTTCAGCGTGTACAGTCAGCATTTTTAATTTTAAATATTTTTTTCCTTTTTTTTTCTTCTTTCCTTTTTCTTTTCTTTTCTCCCCTCGCCGGCTGGTTGCCGGTGGCCGGCCGGCCACCGGCGAAGCCCCGGAAGGGCTGGGCGAGGGCGGCCTTACCCATGGCCGGCGAGGGGCGGCCGACCTCGTCGGCGACAGGCGAGGCTAGCCTAGGCGAGGGCTGCCCTCGCCCTCGCTTGGGCGGGCGAGGGTCGCCTCGCCTGAGTCGGGCGTGGGCGACCCTCGCCGGCGCCGGCGAGGGTCGCCCTCGCCGGACTGGCGTGGGCAACCTCGCCCGGCGTCGGGCGAAGGAAGCCCTTGCTGGGCGGGCGAGGGTCGTCCTCGCCTGAGTCGGGCGTGGGCGACCCTCGCTCGACATCGGCGAGGGTCGCCCTTGCCGGATCCGGCGAGGGCTTCTCGCCCGACGCCGACGGGTCGTCCTCGCCAAATCCGGCGAGGCGACCCTCGCCGGCATCGAGCGAGGGCAGCCCTCGCCTAGGCCGGCGAGGGCCGGCCTCGCACTCACCCGGCGAGGGTTGGCCACCCCTCGCCGGCCATGGGCAAGGCCGCCCTCGCCCAGCCCTTCCCGGGCTTCGCCCGTGGCCGGCCGGCGAGGGGAGAAAAGAAAAAAAAGAAAAGAAAAGAAAAAGGAAAGAAGAAAAAAAAAGGAAAAAAAATATTTAAAATTAAAAATGCTGACTGTACACGCTAAAAAAATTATTTAAAATTAAAAATGCTGACTGTACACGCTGACTCAGCCTCTGGCGAGCCACGTCGGCGTAAAAAATTAATAAAAAATGCCACGTCAGATTTCCGGCCAAATTAGCACTAAAGTGATCTCTTTTTCTCCGACTTGGCACCAAAGTGATCCAAAAAAAAGTTATGGCACCAAAGTGATCGCCGTACACAAGTTATGGCACTTGTGGTGTACTTTTGCCCAAACATATGTATGAGCAGATATTCAAGATATCATATATGATCAGAGTAATTTGATATGAGAATTTTATACTCTGTTTTTTAATAAGATAAGGCACATATATAATTTGCATTGTATCGTATGAGTGCAAAATCTGAACCTTTATGTTCAATGACATGTATTAAAAAACCTACATATCAAAACATATTACATCTGCATATTTGAGCATATCAAAGCATATCATATCTACATATTTCTCCCCCTTTTTGTCAGCATCACAAAAAGATATATGAATAAAAATCCATATATTCCATAATGATCCAAAACAATCATAACAATATAAAACCACAACTCAATATTATGCATCAAGTAAGTGTAATTAACCAGTACGCACGTATGCATATTTACGTTCTCTCTCCCTTTTTGTCGTAATCAAAAAGCGATAATAATGGAAATGGTATCACGTAGAGAATACACATTTTAGCTCATGTTTGTGTACTATCTTCAAAACATATTTGGCATGAAACATAATTCGCGAACATAATATATATTCAATAGAGCTCATGTTTTGTAGAATCAAAATGTCTATCACGGAACACAGTTGTATTATGAAAATTTCACCACCTTTTTTGTCATAATAAAATGATAATATAGATACAAGATTGTTATTGACAAAAAGTAAGGGAAATATAAGAAATACTAACCCAGATTATGTAGAACTTACAAAGTTCTATCATAAATTACCTTTTCTTCCATAGTAATCAAGAACGAGCAGAAATTAAATCAACCTTATCAGTATCTTCCCATACTTGATGAATGCTCCCCCTCAATTTGTTGCTTCTTTGAGATGATTCTCCCCATTTCTTTTTCATTTTTCCACTTTTTGCTTTTCTCCTTTGTGTTTTTCTCCCCTTGTCGTCAAGACAGCTTTTGCAAATGACTTTCATTGCGGCTTGTGCACATTGAACAGATCGTTGTTCCTCTATTTTCTTTGTAGTAGCAACATCCGCCACATTAATTTGCAATAAATTCAAGAAAGAAATTTGTTTTCTTCATTCAAGCTTGTCTCGAATTTAATTTGCATAAACTCAACAAACCTTTTGCACAAATTTGCTGTTAAAGATATAATATCTCATATAATATGTAATGCCCTTCTTTTGAATAAATAAATTGAATAGAATATCAAATATTTCAACCCAAAGTTACTTATCCTTTCGTACGACGCTTTAAGCTTTTGCTCAGAATAATTTGGTATGCCTCCAATAATTTTTGAGAATTTTGCACAGAAAGGAGTTTTCGATCCTTCGAAAATGTTGCAGAATCTCAATGATTTTGATATCAAGCTTTTCAAACTTCATATGGAAAGATTCTTTTACTGTCTACAAATACTTTGCAAAATATAGAGAATGTCATATACATACTTTCCTCCGATTTGATGATCAAACTTGCCAATTATAAGATATCTTCTTTCCTCTTTAGAAATAATTCATCACTTGAGATCCTTCTTTGATTGCATCATGATTTGCGTAGGTTTGCAACCAAGCTTCCTTGAATTGCCTGCAATAAGCTCATTTCCTTTCTGGTATCCATGTATTTTAATCCTTTCCTTTTGTTAGGCGCAAAATAGAAAACTTTCATAGAAACCCAAGGATACTTTCCCAACTCATCTCAGTAAACCTGCATTTGAAGTGGTTGATTTGTTTCTATAGTAGCAAGCAGTCCAACAATATTTCTCACTTTACATGCCTCGAATTTCAGGCGAGAAACAATGCTAGAGTATTGATTACCGGCTCATTGAGTATATTCAGCAATCGGTACGTAGCAAAATTTAGGGATCTAATTTGTCCTTTCCATCTTTCCATTTTCCAAGCTGATATCTGGTTGTTTATCAGATTGTTCAGATCAAGTGTGCAGAAGGCTGGGAGCTCAACCTGGTGGGTGAGGCTATGACTTCTTGTTATTTTTTGGTCTTTCTTTCTGATTGGCATTTTACCAAAGTAGGATTTATATTTCTGTTTCGTTTGGGGACCCTGCTTTATTTATTATATGTATGCAATCCTTCCTTGGAGCATGAATCTGCTCATCCTTTGGGGTGTCCTTACTACTAATGCCAGAATAAAGGGGGCTGGGGGAGGAAGAGAATGCATTACATACTGGGATAGACATAGAAAATTTGTTAGTGGGGGAAAATTTTGATCAAGAATTACAAATAAATCAAGTGCAGCGTTTTAGTAATTAGAATAGTGTTCTTACCCTAAAAATTCCAATAAAAGGGAATATTTAATAGGTTTGATTTATCTGTGGCAGCTACAATACGATAATTCTAGAATTGCTTATTAAGTTTTATCAATTTGTGGGACACATTGAAGTGAAAATGTTGAATGTTGACTTAGCTATATACATTTATGAAAAATAAATGGGGGCAAAATTTAATGTTAGGTCAAAATGTTGAATTGAAACTCGCATTTATTCAAAGTTCCCCACTATTGCATTTTCAGGTCGGTCCCTGGTTATAGATGCAGGTTGAAGAAAGCTTCTGTTACCTTATATGATGTTAAGGGAATGAAAAACAAATTCCGTCCGTAGAGTTTGAGGTTTGAGTGCTGTAGTAACTTGATGAAGACTGAGCGAGCCAGTTTCTCTTAGCATTGCTGGCATGGTCAATCTTCTAGCTCACTGGTTGGGAAAAAATGTGCTAGTATGTATATTGTCGTGTGTTCATGTCATTTGAATATGTTCTGCAATTTCAGAAAAAATTGGCATTCTGCAATACCAAGAAAGTTAAATAAAGTTTATTTGAAGTTGTACGGCTTTTGTGTTCATAAGTGATAGTATATATTCTACTTATTTCAGTCTGATAGTCATTGGTCTTGGTTGTGTTAATGTGTCAAAACTGTTCTCTATACGGTTTGAACTTGCACAGAATGCTTAAGCTGTCTGATGATGCTTTTCAAATTCTGTAATGTATGTAGGTATTATCTATACTGTTATATGTGGGATATGTCAATCAGGGTTAGATTTCAGAGAGTTCTTTAGGAAGGCATTGTTCGTCATTTTGGACTGCGCATATTGGGCCATAACATGGAGTTACAGATTTTGGACGTTGATTATGTTCTTGAGGGTCTTCAATGTGGCATTTGTCGTTTTCCGTTTACTTTCTTTCTCAGAATGACATGTGCATAAGATGTACAAAATGATTTTAGATGATATTATACTGGTGCATTACTTCGGGAATATTGCCAAATCTGCAGCTGGTACATGAATTTGATGAATATGCTTTTGTGCAAACAGGCATGAGAAAGCAGGAAACGAGCAGTTCTTCACTGAAATTAGCAAATGGATAGTCCATGAGAGAGGACATCTGAAGGTGAGACATTCAGTATAAATAGATTGGCTGTACGTTTCTGGTATGAGGTATTTTCCTTGGTGAAATTGAGGTTTATTTGTGTCATCTGTGGAGTGGTAAAGTGCCTTATGGTTTTATCTGGGAATTATACCAGAAAAGGTTTCATCCGGATTACTTTTTAGTTCTCACATAACTGTTCATATATGTGACATTCCAAATTTTGGCCCATTTTTGGGATTTATAAAACGTATAATTCGTCAGTGCGCTTATAATAAAATCTCGCCCGGAACTGATCACTCCTGGGTTTTTATTATTTTTAAATTAGAGATTTCGCTAGAATCGCACTCGATCGAATTTGGCCGTTATTTAGAGCCCAAACTTTGGTGTCGAATTTCTCGGAGTTCCGGGACGAATTTAATTGGACGGTGTCGATATTATTGTGGCCAGCGTCGGTATTACCCGGAGTATGTGAAAAGTGGATTTTTGACCGGGTGCAGATTTGGACTGGTAGACCTCCCTCGTGGTGTGTTTTGGCATATTTTATTTTGGCCATTTTCCTATATTATTAATTAGGATTATAGGGGACCGTTAGATCGTTTTCAGGTTTGAACCGTGTCCGTTGGATCGCACTCGAGTGAGAGGTTTGACTTTGAGTCTCTCTCTCTCTCTCTCTCTCGCTCTCTCTCTCTCTCCTCTGCGCGCCGCGTCTGCCCCCCTTGCGTGCACGTCTCCCTCCCCCCTTCCCCATGCAACTCTCTCTCTCTCCTCTTTCTTTTTCTTTTCTTTTCCTTTCTCTCTCTCTTCTCCGCTTCTTCTTCCTCGTTGGCTTCTTTTCCCCCCCGACTGGTTCTGCTCCGCCGTGCCCTGCTCGCCGACCGCCGTTCGACCGCCGTTCCGCCTCCGCCCAACGCCACCCCACCAGCCGCTGATGCCGCCGTCCTCCCCGCGCCGTCGTCGAGCTGCCGTGTCGCCCGGTAGCCTCGCCCGACTCTGCCTACTCCTCCTCCCGAGCGCGTGAGCTCGGCTCGCTGCCCGTTCCGCTGCGCGAGTCGCCGCCGCGTCGCCTAGCCACCCCGTCGTCGGCCCACTTTGCGCCGGCCCACCTCCGCCGTCGCCCCAGCTCGTCCGGCCAGCTCGCCGCCGCCGCCCCCCCGTCCCGGCCCCAGCTTCTCTCTCCCTCACCCTCGCCCTCACTGCCCAGGCCGACCTCCATCTCTCCTCCAGCTCGTCGCCGCCGCGTCGCTGTCGCAGCTGCCCACTGCCGTCGCTGTCACGCCCCGAACCCCAACGGGCTCGCGACACCCCTTCGACGGTCGTATTAATCGCGACGTCCCAGGACGCGTCGCCGACCCAAACGGAATACGCAAGCGGAAGCGAAATATAAATAACCCAGACGATTAACCATGACCAGGGGATATCACTAGCATAAAATCAATATGTGCATTTTATAAAAATACTTGGCAGATACAAACGGCAGAAACACGTTCATCAAAAAAAAAGGGGTAAAGGTTGGGTAACCTACTTCACTATACAAAACGGGGGCAACCAAAAAGGTGGAATGAAACATCAAATGCCCAAAGTCACTCCCGGTCTCCGAACAGCACATGACGACTATCCGTCACTCCAGTCCTGAAAATGTTTAACAACGGGGGATGAGATAAATCTCAATAAGCAGACCCCTAAACCCCACATAGGCCAATGCGTACCCAGACAAGTTCAGCATGCAATCTAACCGATTACATATATATAAAATTCACATCAATGGACTTACCTCGCCATCCAATCACATACCCACACTGCACATTAGTCAAATCATGATAACGCAATAATATCCCAAAAGTACATCACAATCACTCGAACGACATACATACGTACGTTCACCCAATTTATCCATGCACAAAACACATGCGCATCCATCCAACTTTTTCACGACCCGGGTCAACACCCCACAGGTCAGCCCTCCGATCAATCCGGGCTCTGTCCCGGGTCAACACCCCACAGGACCTTTCACAAACAAACTTTCACACGACCCGGGTCAACACCCCACAGGTCAGCCCTCCGATCAATCCGGGCTCTGTCCCGGGTCAACACCCCACAGGACCTTTCACAAACAAACTTTCACACGACCCGGGTCAACACCCCACAGGTCAGCCCTCCGATCAATCCGGGCTCTGTCCCGGGTCAACACCCCACAGGACCTTTCACAAACAAACTTTCACATGACCCGGGTCAACACCCCACAGGTCCTTTCTCACAACCCGGGTCAACACCCCTCAGGTTGGCAGCCCTCCGATCGATCCGGGCTTGGTCAAGCAAATACATACGCCACATAATTCAATCAATTACCATGTCAATCACATTCAAATATCGTTATATTATGCTCAATCGTCACTCATTCTAGTCACATCAAGCCACAGTTCACATAATAGGCGTCAATCTAACCACGAACAAACAACACGAATCGTCACCAAGCGGACGTTAAATCATACAAGAACATCCAATGAACTTAACATAATTTTCAGCATTAATGACCACCAATCCAGCCATGATTTCAACAATAAACCACCTCATTTCGGCCCACAATCCGACCCATTCACTCGCCCCGAAATCCGCCACCAATTTAGCATCAACCGACACAAAAATCAGCATTAAACCGTCATAAAATCAGCACCAAACAGCCGCACAATTAGCCTCACTAGCACGCCATTCCGATATAACATAGCTAATATTTCGTTCTATAGATTACCCAACATCGGCTCATCGAACTGGCCATTCCTCGAGCCAAAAATCAATCATAAATCTCGCAATGACCAACCACTAAACAGTCAAGATTCCGCCCGCACATTGCTCCACTCGACTCATAAAACAACCTATCACGATCACCATTCGAAAATCGCCGCACCATCCATCGAATCCTCCCCCTCAATTCAGCCACAAATAAACAACCCGAACAATCGCCAATCGAGCATTGAATCACACAAACAACTAATAAACTCGACATAATTTTCCAGCATTATGCGACCTTCAAACCAGCCATAAAATCAGCGATAAACCACCTCGATTCAGCCCATACTCCGGTCCATTCGTTCACCTCGAGCCAACCCACAATTCAGCCACCAAGTCGCACTAAACGGCCATTAAATCAGCCCCGAACAGCCCCTAATCAGCCGCCAATCTCACCCTAAACGACCCCTAAACAAGTCTAATAATACGCAAGGTCCTAGACAAGGTTTAGGGTGTCGCTTACCTCGACTTGAGCAAGAAAACGGGGCTGGGCAGCGGGGGAAATCGCTGGGACAGCCGCAGCGGCTGCGATCGGCGAGGCTCTCGAACACGGCCGGGCGATGGCGGCGGCAAGGGAGCTCCGGGCCGAGGCGGCAGCAGCCTCGGCGGCGAGGGGGCAAGCGGGGGGCCTCGCCGAACAGCCAGCTAGCTCCGGCGTTCGAGCGGCGGCCCACGGCGGCGACGGGAACAGGGGCGGTGAGGGCAGAACAGGGGAGGGGAGCGGTGGCCAGAACAGGGAAGGGGGTGGTGCTGGGTGGCCGGCCAAGCGGTGGGGTGGCGGTCGGTGGCCGAGAGCGGTACGGTTGGGGGCGGCGAGCAACGCCCGGTGCGGCTAGATCCGGCCCGGAGTGGAGGGAAAGAGAGAAGGGGACGGGAGAGATGGGAACGGTCGGGCTCGGGACGATCGGCGGTACGGACGGTGACTCCGGGTCGACGGGAACGCCGGCCGGACGGGCGGTGAGGCGCGCGGCGGCGGACGGCGGCGCGGTGGAAGACACGCGCGCAGAAGGGAGGAAAAACCAGATCTGGAGCAGGGGAGGAGACCAGCCGGTCGGGGGCGGCGGCTGGCGGACGGCGGCGCGGCGGTCGAGCTAGTTGGCGACGGCGGCGACGCGCGGTGGCCAGGCGAGCTCAGGCGGTCGGCGTCGGGCGCACGAGACACACGAGCGTAACCCGGTGGGGCGGGGAGGAAGAAAGGAAGAAGAAGAAGAAGAAGAAAGGAGGAAGAAGAAGAAGAAGAAAGGAGGAAGGAGAGAGAAAAGAGGAGAGAGAAGAAAAGGGACGTGCGGGCAGAGGGGGAGAGAACGTGCGCGTAGGGGAGGGGCGCGGCAGAGGGAGGAGAGAGAGAGAGAGAGAGAGAAAATAGAATAAGAAATAATTTGAACATTCAAATATTATTTGCAAACCGATGGTCCAAATTCAAAACCGAAAACGATCTACCGGTCCAAAATAAGCCTCGCATATAAAAAGGGACAAAGGCCAAATTATAACGAGGGAGGTCTACTAGTCCAAATTCGCACGTGGTCAAAAACTCCCATTTTTCCATCATTCCTGAAAATCTCAACGTTGGCTACCATAATATTGACACCGTCCAATTTATTTCGTCCCGAAACTCCCGAAAATCGACTGCCAAGTTCAGGGTCTAAATAACGGCCAAATTTGATCGAGTGCGATTCTAGCGAAATCTCTAATTTAAAATGATCATCGGGAGTGATCAGTTCCCGGGCGAGATTTTACTATAAGCACACTGACAAATTACGCATTTTATAAATCCCAAAAATGGGCCGAAATTCGGAATGTCACAGTCGCCGCGCTGTGCCGCCGCGTCGCCGCCGGTCCGCCACCCCCCTCAGCCCCAGCCTCCTCTCTCTCTCCCTCTCGCCCCCACCCCCGGCCGACCTCTACCTTCCTGCAGCTCGTCGTCGCCGCTCGCCACCACCGCGCTATCGTCGCCGTCGCCGTAGTCGCCGCCGCCGTCGGTCGCCGCCCCGACCAGCTAGCCGGCCCGGCCCGGCCAGCCCACGGCAGGCCGTGGCCAAGCGGCTTCGGGCCAGCCAGGGCCGTAGCCAAACAGCCCTTGAGCTAGCTCGGGCCGTGGCCGAGGCTCGCCGCGCCGTGCCCGTCCGACCCGGGCGCGTCACCCATCCGACCAGGCGCGTCGCCCGTCCGTTCGCCCGTGCGCCCCACAGCACGCCGCACGGCCATCGCACCCGCGTGCCAGGCACGCCGATCGGCCATTGTGCCCGCGTTGGCCGGCCACCGCGCCTGTTGGCCCACGCCCGCGCCCAGTCCGGTACTGTTCACCCGGGCCATTTTGGGCCTGAGCCGACTTTTCCCGGGCCAAACTTAGGTAAGTGACTTTCTAAATCCTACCTAGTACTTTGGGTATTTTTAGACTTGTTTAAGGTGAAATTTAGTACCGGCTTAGGACTTTAATTAGGCGTGGGCTAATTAGACTGATTGTGCTTAATTGGTGAATTATTGTGGCGATAATTGTGCGGCTGATTTAGTGATTGACTGAGATAAATATGCCTGCTTGAATTGTCGTGGCGCTTGTGGGTGAATTGGATTAATTGAATGTGCCGACATGAATGTTGGGTCGGTGGACCGATGTGGGGAGTGTGAATTAAAGTGGTTGTTAGAGTGTACCAGATTGACATTGGTGTGAGTTTGGTAATTTGATTGTGAAATGTACGACGTGTTAGATGACAGATTGTGTGGTGGTGCATGTGCATGAGAGAAATGTCCCGAGGCGTGGTTACGCGGGGCGAGCCCGGCTTGATCTCGAGGCACGCTAACCCGAGGCGTGGTTACGCGGGTGTGGCTAGAAAGGCAAGTAATGACCCGAGGCGTGGTTACGCGGGTCGAGAGAAATGTCCTGAGGCGTGGTTACGCGGGACTGAGCCCGGCTTGATCTGAGGGCTGCCAACCTGAGGCGTGGTTACGCGGGTGTGGCTAGAAAGGCAAGTAATGACTTGAGGCGTGGTTACGCAGGTCGAGAGAAATGTCCTGAGGCGTGGTTACGCGGGACTGAGCCCGGCTTGATCTGAGGGCTGGCTTGAGACGTGTTGACGCGGGCCGTGTGAAAGGACTTGGGAGATCGTGAGAAAGTTGGTCGGCCACGTATGCGAATTGAGTGTGATTGAATTGGCTGGTTGAATTAATTGGATTGATTGAGTGAAAGCGTGGTTGGTGTTTGAGCGATTGTGATGTGTTATTTAATTACTATCATTGCATTATCACGTGACGACTAACGTGTAGAGTTGGCATGGGCTTGATGACGAGGTAAGTACAATGATGCGAATTTTATATGTTATGGGGTAGATTGCATGTATGACTTGTCTGGGTACGCATTGGCCTACGTGGGGTTTAGGGGGTTGCTTATTGAGACTCGTTCTCACGGTTATTATATAACCATTTCAGATCCACGACCGTAATCAATTCGGAGATGCCGCCAGAGCACCACAGGGATTGAAGAATAGATCATTTACCCTGTCTTTTGAGTGCTTTTTGTAGAGGAGATAAGCTTGTCAACCACCGCCCCCTTTTGAAAATTGTGGTTCTAAATTGGTAGCCCAAGTTATCGTTTTGTATAGTGACTACTTTATGATGGTATGCAATTATTGTTTCGTGCTATCTCTTTGTCATTGTTTATTGTCTGGGTTAATTAATTTCGCTTCCGCTTGCCTTTATTGTTGGGTGTTTCGTTTGGGTCGGCGACGCGTCCTGGGACGTCGCGTTCAATGATCGACCATCGAGGGATGACCGCGCGCTCGTTGGGTGCGAGGCGTGACAATATCTGACAATAGAGTGCAGTGGTATAGGGGGTCATTGTTTGGTCAAGCGCAATGGGATGATGCTTAGTTATTGTTCGTTGCTGCTGCTATTTATTTTCTATTTCTACTTCATCACCTTAAATCACTTCCCTATCGATAGGCTGTGAATGTGAAACACAATAAAGTTGGGGAAGCTGATGAACCTGCGATGTATAGGATCAATGATGACCTGGTAAGTTTATTCCTTCTGATTGTAATGCCTAAAAGAAAGATGGTTTGGGTTTTGAAAAGGAAAATTCCACTTTTATTGACATTTTGTTGTAGGAATACTCCATTGAGATATACGAATGGTCTGGAAGCAGCTGGGAACCATATGTTTCAGATGATGTTCAAGTTCAGTTTTACATGATGAGCCCTTATGTTTTGAAAACTTTATCTACTGACAAAAAGGTGATATAAATTTCAGTAACTCTTCACCCTCTGCCTTTCCTCATTCCAGAAATTTTATCAACTGTTATCATGTCTTCCTGCAGGGTGTCTATTCTACTTCATTTAAGGTTCCAGATGTCTATGGTGTTTTCCAGTTCAAGGTTGAATACCAAAGGCTTGGATACACTAGCTTGTCCCTAGCAAAGCAGGTATTTGGCTCTTCCGCATTAGATGTATATATTTTTTGATCTGAGCCTTAGATATCTTACTTATAGCTTATTTGCACTTTCCTTTTGTGTGAGCTTGTGAACCATCCATTGATCTGTCTGGATTCCACTATGTTAGTGGTTGGAAGACATTTTCATTTCTTTGTGAGAGCCAATGATGGTGTGATTTTTCACCTTTGAAATAAGCTTCCTGGTTTGGGTACTTGCCGGTAGCAACTGCAGAGAAGACATAATTTGCGCAGTGCAAAGTAGTAGTCGACAACTATAAAAGCAACCCACTGTCTGAAACCCATTTGTGCTTGTTGACACCTAAATTTTGGCGTATCATTTAGTGTAATTTGCATAGAAAATTAGGGATTAAATTTTTAACCCTTAAACAAAAATATTTAAATTGCATAAACATATAGTTTAGGTCCATTTAATTTAATTGCATTTTTTGCATCAGATTGGCAGTGGCGAATGAGCTTAAAATTTCATCGAACGAGACTCGGCTCGCTCGGAAGGCAAGGGCCGGGAATTACAAGTCAAACGGGCTCGGTTGTTTTAATTTGAGCTTAATTCAGCCCATTATCCTTAATTAATTCAGCCCATTTAAATTAAATTAAAATCTAAGCCCAAGCCTAAGCCCATTAGGACTAGAGAACCCATCTAATTGACCTAGATTAGTGTTATATATACATCATTAGGTCAGGATTTTAGGGAGGACACACAATTTCGGACAATTTTCAAGAAGAGAAATAGCGAGAGCGAGAGGCGAGAGAGAGGAACGGGGGGGAGAGATCAGAGGATCACGGGTGGACTTGTCCTGCCGCCGCATCCGTGTTGCCTCACCGCCGCGCCTCCACCGACGTCGCACCCGCTCACGGCCAGACCTGTGGCCGTGTGTCACTGGTGCCCCGAAGACACCATCCCCGCCATCGCATCCGGTGGTCCGAGCTGCCGCCCTCCTGCGCGGCGGCCGACGACGCCGCCGCCGCCGCCGCTCCCACCGTGCCGTCCGGGCCGCTGTTCCCCTCACGGCCAGACGGGTGGCCTTGAGGATCCCGCCGCTGCTCCTACCGCTGCACCAACGCCGCCTCCCTGCTGCCGCTGTTCACGCCGCGTTCTCCCTCAGTACGATGTTGTCACAGTCTCGAAGCGAAGCCAGCAAGTTTTCAGCAGATCCTCAGCTGTCCACGAGTCCCATGGCTTCGTCGTCATCACATGCAGAAGACGCCACCTTTTGATTTCTTTTGAGTATAGTGGTGGTCAAAGTCTTCAGTGGAAGCTTGGACAAATAGACCCACGAAGGGATTTGCACACTGACTTGGTGGCTCACCCGTGATCCCCAAGCTCGGAGGCCGTCATCCTTGCAATCACAGTGATCGTTCACCGCCGGTCCTCGCTCCTCCGCCGTCCAGTACCTTGAGCCACCGGTCACAATCAATCTCTGTTTTACAGGTTTATTTTTTTGGCAAGTTCGTGAACCATCCAGCCGCGATTCCAATCGAGCGTCAACCATCAATCGTCGGTATCGCCACTCGCGATCCATCGTAAGCCCGGAGCCTAGCCGAGCCACTCCCGACCGCCGTCACGCCCGCAGTTGCCGTCGCCGCCACCGTCTCGATCCGCAAAGCCCGATCCCGATCCACAATTCGAATTTGGAAGTTATCTGCAAATTAGATAATTCAACATTATCCGATATTTTCAGAATATTTAATTTCCTAATATGGGTATTTGAATATTTCGTGAATATCATGTGGATATTTAGATATCTTAGGATAATGTTCGATATATCCGCAATATTTTTAAATATTCAAAATTAGGAAAACTTCCTAATTTAGCAACGTATCTGGACGACTATCCGACCTTATCCCTAAGGTTCGATACGCGGCGATACGAAAAATTATTATCTTATCCATAACCACTTGGGTACGATAATGATTTTTATCCGCTTTCCAAATTTGAATAATCGGCTTTCCGTCGATATCTATAACCCTATAGATATGACCGATAGTTTGATTTTTGTGCCTAATCCGAGTTTGAAACAAATATGGCGGATCGCGTGGACATTTTGAATGTGGTTGCTATCCTTGTTTATTTAATTGCTTTCCTTTTTCAAATAAACAGAAAATTCAAAAAAATATTAATTAGATTTTAATTAGAGTTTTTGCATGTCTAGGAATCCTAAATATATCTAGAAGATAGAGTAGTTATTTAATTTAAATTAGGACTTGAGATGATTTATTTCCTAGTTTAAATTAAGTAATATTCTAATCTTAATAGATTATTCAGGTTATTTTATTATTTCGAATTTCCATGAAAATCCCAAGAAAAGAAGAATGAATTGTTTTAGGATAGATTAGGATAGATTGTATTCTTAATTTAAGTAATTCATTATTTCGAATTTTAACAAAAATCCTAAAAGAAATCATGCTAGGGTAGATTAAGTCATCATAGTTTGCATGTTAATTTAGGCATTTTTATTATTCCGAATTTAAATTGAGAAAATACCAAAAATAATCATTCGTCTTGTCATTAGAAATAGGTCACGTCGTCGCACGACATATAGTTTGCATGCTAGGTTGCATTAATCGCATGTCATTTTCGCATGTCATTGCATATAGGCTAGATTTCATTTAAATAAGTGAAAATCCAAAAAAGAAATTGAGTGAATTGCTTGTTAATTAGAAATCATATTAGGGTGTCAATGTGATTTTCTAGCTAACAATGCAGATGCTTACGTTGCTTCCAGGTAAGTAATTCTTCCAAACTTGCAATTTATTTAATGCTTTCTGGGTGTTAAATTGGTGGTTTGCGCACCCGCATGATCACCTCACATGTTAGTAATTAAGTTGAAATGGATCCAAACTGCCTGCCAAAACATTTTTGAAAAGAAAAGGTACCGAAAGGGCGTTAGACCAGATCTAGCGTAATCAAGTCCCCGGGCTTAGAATCTCTGGTTCGTAGGAATAAAACATATCTCCCTATGTTTTATTTAGGTTTCTAATCAACTTACCATAAATTGATTAGTGGCGACTCCAAGCATGAAAACTTTTGCATGTTAAAAACTTAGACCCTAAGTTGCGAATTGGTAGGGCTTGGGAGGGCCCGAGTTAGGCTTAGTCTTAACAATCCATTAGCCTGAGAGGAATTTTAGGTCGCGACAGTGCTATTCCAAGTGATGCCTGATAGAGCTACCTCCTGCTCGAGTTTGTAGATGGTCAAAGCTGATTTTATTGCCATATAAGAAGGCTTTAAGCAAAAAGTTGTCAAATCAAGAAGATATCTTTTACTTACCAAGAATGCATCTTCAGTGCCTTTCTGCCATTGAATTGAGCATTATTTTTGTGCTATCAGTTTGTTGTTCTTGTCTATTCCTGATGGACCTGAGGTATTTGTGTCAATAAAGTTCTATCTTCTAAGAAAGCATAAAAAATAATCAAACTTAATTATGTGAGCATAAATCCTTATCATCTGCTGTTTGAATACTTTTTTTATTTTGCTGTTTATCATATTCAAAGCTGTTGTGGCTCCGACAGCGCAGTCATATTGTTTTGGTTTCAAACATTCCATTGCAGATTCCAGTACGACCTTTCAGACACAACAAATATGAAAGATTTATTCCAGCTGCCTATCCCTATTATGGTGCAGCATCCTCTATGGTATGATCATGTGGACCACTAGTCTCTTGTTATGGTTTTCCCAAAATCTTTCTCTATGTTACACTTTTCCAGTGCGGTGGTAACACCCTCTTTCTTTTGGCATTGGACTGAGGGATTCGCACTGCATAGACTTTAATCCATCCATAAAGTGTTCCCACTCTGCTCCTAGCTAATTAGATTAGGAAACTCTCACCATTGACATCACGTCTATGGTTGTGTAGTTGTACATAAACAGAAGCATCCAAGTGAGACTTTCCTTTTCCTTTTCTGGACACTAGACTTTCCCGATCATTGTCAAGTTTTGAGTGGGATACGGGGGGCTAAAAGTAAAAACTGGAAATCAATTTTCAAATCGCACCCCTACAAAACTTCTGCGTTGTTGGTTCTACAATTTTGTTATGTTTTGGAAAAAATTAAAACTAGTGACTTTAGTTTGGCTTTTAATTTGAATACAACCTCTTTTGTCTGTTTATTTACATATTTGAATCACTTGAAAATCATTTGGTCATGGGTTGCAAACTGTGCTCTTCATCGAGGTTAGATTACATTGCTAATTGTGGGTGAAAGATTAGACTCAGGTAGTGGTTTGGTTCAAAGTAAAAGCAATATGGTAAACTTTCATTAGTTTGATTTGGTCTTTGTTTGAGAGTTTTGATATCCCCATAAACTCTACATTTGTTTGGTTAAAAAATTAAATTCCTCTCCAAATTAATGCAATTGAACTGTGAATGCTGCTAAGCCTGACCATTTATTGGGGCCCAAATGATTGTTAACTTCATCTCATCATTACGGAGTCTCAGTTGACCGACACTATTTCTCTCTACAGCCTTACATATTTTTCTGACAGCGTTCCGTATTAATGCAGATGGCGGGCTTCTTTCCCTTCACCTTTGTCCACTTATACAACAAGTGGACGTGTTATACTTTCCCCTCCTTGAGACCTAATTTTTGTAGAAGTTTTAGCACCTTATGTTCCAGAAATTTATGAAGATCCAACTTTTAAAGTATTGCAAGAGATGGATGACAAATTTTCCTCCAATTTTCCGGATGCGACGGTAACTATTCATGTTTCATGTACAAAACATAAAGCCAGGTTGCGAATTTCTTACCTTTCAGCAACAACCTATCCCGTCTTTTTACCAGATGAAGATGCATCCATAAGAGCTACCTGCTATGAAGCAGGTAAGGGGAATTGCTCCCTGATTGTATATCTCAAATGAAACCCTTGCATCACTTCCTTCCGATCCTGCCTCATTGAAACCTTCGGGCCATGGGTAAAATTTCACGTTTGGAACGTTCTCTTTCCATCAGTCAGCAACGCATCTTACATTGCAGGACCACATCTTTTATCAGAGTGGTTTGCGGCTCAAGTGTGTGTCCGGGATGGAGTTTGAAAGTAGCATGCTCATTAAGACATAGGCGACGACTTTGCGAGGTTGCAATATTTTCAAATGAAAGAGGAAATACAGACGGTTTGTGGCTGTTTGAACATACTTTAGAGATCGAATGTGCTCTATCCATCGCCCATGGACAAATAGATGGTCCTTGCCTTCTCGGTAGGACCGTGATTTGCGTCCACCGGTTCAGGAGATTGAAGGTATCGGAAATGCATCTCTTTTAGACCAGTACGTGAGTTATCCGGTTTCATGGTTTGTGACGAACAAACTTGACCTGGTTAGAGAACGATCTTTTATGGACATTGGATTGCTTTGAAGGAAACTGTTTCACTCTTTGCTCATTTGATATTGAATTCTGTACAGAAAAAAGAAAACAGCAAACATGGTACCCTAAGCTATTTTCATGATGATACTTAGCTTAATGGTCTGTTACATGTCATAATCTTTAAGGGGGTACAGTATGTACACGGAGGTATGATCTCGGACAGGCAAAATTAGCTTTCCACTTGTATTCGATCAAATCTATCCAGACAAAAAATCAAAGCGGGGGGAAATGTTCACAAATTCCCACGAAGTGGCAGTCATTTCTCAAAATTTTTCTCGGACTTAGACTTTGTTTTAAAATACCCCATAAAGTTAGAAGGCCTTTGACTCAATGACCATTTGAAGGGGCCTCTCGCTTGTCAGGAACTCCATAAAGACTTGGATTTTGTTTTAAAAAGTTTTTCTCGAATTTGACTGCTTTGACCAGATAAGCTCCCCGAGTTCATCGTCATCGCCGTTGAAAAGAACGGCGGGCCGACCAAATTGTGCTCCTCGCAAGCACATTTTGAGCCTTTCTTTGGAGCATTTTGGTCCAAAAAACCACTACGAACTTGAGCCGTACTTCCCGCATGTAAGAAAGCCCCAACTGGGGTTCGCATCAGGTAACGATGTTCTCATTAGGGGTGTGATGCACCTAACCTAAGGGGGACCGGCGGACCGTTGTGCGACTAGACGAATCGGCGGGTTTGAAGTCAACGAAGTCGGATTGAGCTCAAATTTGGTCGGCTGAAGCGAAACGGCGTGCTGATCAATACTCACTGCCTTTGGCTGTGACTAACGATGGATTTTCGCGATTCGAGATTGTTTAGATGGGTTTTTCTATTTTTTTAGTATTTTTTATGGGTTAATTTAGTAAAGGGTAGTTTCGTAATTTTACGTTTTGATGTTTCCTAATCCTAGTAGGGCTTCGTTTGGGGTTATATAAACTTGTTTTAGGGTTTCTTTTCAGCAGACTTGGATATTATTGATTTGATAATCATATTTGGAGGACGAATTGTTCTTCTGACGAATTTTCTTGTTCAGTCAATTTTTCTATCACGCTTCGGCATCAATTGGTATCAGAGCACAGGTTGCTTGAATCAATGGCTGAACAGAATCGTGGTCGTGGACGGCGGGCTCGTGGTGGCCGGGGGCGTGGAGGCGTTCCTGAAGCAGACGATCAACCGCTTCTAAGAGATCTGCGAGACGTAGAAATTGAAGAACAGAGAAGACGAATCCAGGATTTGGAGCGACAACTTGCGGAGGCGAGGTTGGGCATTCAATCCGAAGAAGGAGCGGAATCTGAGGATTCATCCGATGATGAAGAGGAGGACGTAAACCCTTTTGGGGTTCTGAACCAGGGGCGGAATCGAGGAGTACGACCTGGAAATCAGCGTTCTTCACAAAATTTCGAAATGAAGATCGAGATTCCTGAGTTTAATGGTAAAGCTCATCCTGATGAGTTTATTGATTGGTTGCATACGGTAGAACGGATTTTTGATCTTAAAGACCTAACTAAGGGACAAAAAGTGAAGTTAGTGGCTATCAGGCTGCGAAAACATGCTTCGATTTGGTGGGAACACGTAAAAAAGCAACGCGCTAGAGAGGGCAAGCCGAAGGTGGATCGCTGGGAGAAGATGAAAAAGTTATTGCAGAAAATTTTTTTGCTTACCCATTATAGGCAAGAGGCGTTTATCGAATATCATAACGTCAAGCAAGATGATAAGACAGTTGAGAAATTCACAGAAGAATTTGATCGCTTGCGGATGCGTTGTGATGTGGCAGAGGAAGACGAGCAGACGATTGCATGATATCTGGCAGGGCTGCGATATGAGATCTCTGATGTTGTCCAATTGCAGCAGTATTGGACATATGAGGATGTGTGCAGACTAGCCCAAAAGGTGGAGGGGCAGTTTAAAAGAAAAAGCAGTAAGTCCAAGTGGTCTAGCAGCGGTTCTAAGTGGACAGGCAGCAGTTCCAAGTGGTCAGATAAAGAGTCCCGGGGGAAAGCAGGGAGTTCTTCAGCTCCGGCAGCAGTTAAGGGCGCTGGTTCAAAATCTGCAACAAAAGGAGAGCAGGGTAGTGCTGGATCTAGCAGGGGAGGAGCTGCAAGCAAGCGATGTTTTAAGTGTCAAGGACTCGGGCATTTTGCTGCTGATTGTCCGAACCGACAGTTTGTGACACTTGTAGATAATCCAACTTTCGATGAAGACCCAATTTATGATGAATCAGAAGGCGAGCAAGCAGATGCAGATCCAGATCCGGAGGACATTATCTATGCCGATTCTGGTGAGTCTTTAATTGTGCGTCGTGTTTTAAATATTGCTGAGGTAGATGATGAATCGTGGCTCAGGCATAATATATTTCATACTAAGTGCACTAGTGGGGGAAAGGTGTGTAGTATGATCATTGATGGGGGAAGTTGTGAGAATGTAATATCTACCATTATGGTAGAAAAGTTGGGGTTGAAAACTGTCGAACATCCTCAGCCATATAAGCTGTCATGGCTTAGGAAGGGGAATGAGGTAAAAGTGAGCAAGAGGTGCTTAGTGCAGTTCTCGATTGGGAAGAAATATACTGATGAAGTATGGGGTGACGTAGTTCCAATGGATGCTTGTCATATTCTGTTGGGGAGGCCTTGGCAGTTTGACAGGAAAACACAGCATGATGGATTCAAAAATACATACATCTTCAAGAAGGATGGCCGGACCATTACTCTGGGTCCTTCAGATTTGAGAAAAGAAGGGAAAAGTAATCTGCTTTCCAAATCAGAGTTCCAGGAGAAGGCGATAAATGCCCTAGAGCTTTTTGCTGTCGTGGTCGTGGAGCAGAATCTTGATAGTCCAGAAATTTCAACTCAAGTTCTGCCTATACTTGAGGAGTTTGCTGATGTCGTACAAGAGGAATTGCCACCTGGATTGCCACCCATGAGGGACATTCAGTATTGTATAGATCTCGTTCCAGGAGCTACTATTCCTAACAAGGCGAACTACAGAATGAATCCTAAGGAGCATGAGGAGATGCGAGGGCAAGTGCATGAATTATTAGAAAAAGGTGCAATTCGAGAGAGCATGAGCCCTTGTGCAGTGCCAGCTTTGTTGGTTCCTAAGAAGGACGGGTCGTGGAGAATGTGCGTGGACAGCAGAGCTGTTAACAAGATCACGATCAGGTATAAAGCTCCTATTCCGAGGTTTGATGATTTAATTGATCAACTGCATGGAGCGACTATCTTTTCGAAGATAGACTTGAGGAGTGGATATCATCAGATTAGGGTGCGTCCTGGAGATGAGTGGAAGACCGCTTTTAAAACTCGAGATGGTCTGTATGAGTGGATGGTGATGCCTTTCGGGTTGTCTAACGCACCGAGCACCTTTATGAGATTGATGAATCAGGTGTTTCGTCCTTTTATTGGCCACTTTGTCCCGTGTAGCAAGTCCTATGATGCTTCACAGGTTGCTCGATTATTTCTGCAGGAAATTGTTAAGCTGCATGGAATTCCTAAGTCCATTACCTCAGATCGTGATGTGAAATTCGTGAGTCACTTCTGGCGCACTCTTTGGAGGTACATGGGTACAAGTTTGAAATTTAGTTCATCTCATCATCCACAGACTGATGGTCAAACAGAAGTTGTCAATCGAAGCTTAGGGAATTTGCTGCGGAGTTTGATTGGAGATAATCCGCGACAGTGGGACTTGGCATTGCCTCAGGCGGAATTTGCATATAACAGGTCAGAGAACCGAACTATTGGCAAGACTCCTTTTGAAGTGGTTTATGGGCGTAATCCAATTACTCCCTTAGATCTTACACCGATACCAGTTCTCAAGCAATTTAGTTCGGAAGCTAAAGAACATGCAAAGCATATCAAAGAGCTGCATTCCCAGGTCCATAATCAGATCAACAGGCAGAACATGAAGTATAAGCAACGCGTGGATATGCGCAGGAAAAGAGTTGTCTTCAAGGAAGGTGATCTAGTTTGGATTCACCTTAGGAAGGAACGATTTCCAGCGGGTAGGTTTGGCAAGCTTCAACCTAGAGCTGATGGACCTTTCAGAGTTTTGGAGCGAATTAGTGACAATGCTTACAAGATCGAATTGCCGGGTAAGTATAATGTATCCGGAACTTTTAATGTAGCAGATTTGTCACCTTACTATCCTGAAGAGGAAGAGGAGATTGACGACAACAATGAAGGCGAAGCAGATTCGAGGACGAATCTTTCTCTAGCAGGGGAGGATGATGCACCTAACCTAAGGGGGACCGGCGGACCGTTATGCGACTAGACGAATCGGCGGGTTTGAAGTCAACGAAGTCGGATTGAGCTCAAATTTGGTCGGCTGAAGTGAAACGGAGTGCTGATCAATACTCACTGCTTTTGGCTGTGACTAACGATGGATTTTCGCGATTCGAGATTGTTTAGATGGGTTTTTCTATTTTTTTAGTATTTTTTTATGGGTTAATTTAGTAAAGGGTAGTTTCGTAATTTTACGTTTTGATGTTTCCTAATCCTAGTAGGGCTTCGTTTGGGGTTATATAAACTTGTTTTAGGGTTTCTTTTCAGCAGACTTGGATATTTTTGATTTGATAATCATATTTGGAGGACGAATTGTTCTTCTGACGAATTTTCTTGTTCAGTCAATTTTTCTATCACGCTTCGGCATCAGGGTGTGCAACCGGACCGGGTTTATCCGGAAATCGGACCGGCCCACCCGAAAACCAGGTCCGGGAACCGGTTCCATTTTTTGGAAACCGGTTATAACCGGTCCGGTTTCCGATTTCCGGTTTCAAGTAAAAACCGACCCGGACCGGTTTTAGAACCGGTTTTGAGATAATGTAAAAAAAAAGTAAAAACCCTAGATTACGTTACCTTATCTGGCTACCTAATCTGTCTCTCACGGTTTCTCTCTTCTCTCTTTGCGACCTCCTCTGTCTCTCACGGTTTCTCTCTTTGCAAGCGCCTCCTCAGTCGCCGTAAGAACGCAACCCAGCTCGTCACCTGCCTACGTGTTGAAGAGGGCTAGGGTTCGGTCATCTCGGCGTTTGTACCGTGCGTGTGTTTTTTCCGCCTTTTTGGCTCGCCGATCCGGTAAATCTTTTACTTTGAATCGTTTCATTACTACTTCTATTATTTTGCTGGAAAAAAATGAAAACAAAAAAATGAATAAAAAAAAACAGGTTCTCGGGTAAACCCTGAAAC